AGCCCATTACACAGGCTGGAAGGCGCTAGCATGTAAGCGTTGTCTGGCATCGCTCAGGTGAGCTGTTGTGCATGCGCAGTAAGGGTGGTTACGCAAACTGGTTTGAACTCCGTCATAAGCTGCTTCGCATCTGAAAATTTGTCCCGTGAATTGTGTTGGCACAATTTTAGGGGCGAAGCTCCTTAAGCCGCGGGTTTGCCCCTCCTAGCTAGTCGTGGTTCGTGACCGCCTAGTTCGATAACGCAACTCAGCTGGTGGGGATAGGCGGAAAAACCGGCAGACAAACAGACGAACGGACAGATGCACGAAAGAACGCACGGATAGGTGGACGCATGGTCGAACGGAAGCAAGGACGGGTGGACCCACAGACACTGGCACGGACGGATAGAAGCACGGAAGCAAGGACGAACGGACAGACAGACGCATGGAGGGACGGATGCTTCGCTCTACTAATCATCATTCACTCCGTGGATATGCTAAGATTTTTTTAATTGGCTTCACAGCATCATGTATTGTAGCTGATTGAGCGTGATGACAATGTAGATTACAAGCAGACATTCATTGCCTCAATTCAAGTTGGTTCACAGCGCTTACAATTTTTAGGAGTTTTTTTCTTAACAACATTATTTGCGGTTTATACAAATTATGATTAGTAAATGTAACTTGTTCAGCAAGGACTACGGCTCTACAATACTTCACAAGCCGTTAGTAACAGAGAGTATCTTCGGCAACCTTTTGAAATGAGGAGATCCCACGGGACGTAAGCAAAGGTAAGCGCAGTGAGGCCTATGCTGGTAAGAAGTGGTCATAAAACCTTGTAAATAGATGTGCATAAAGAAGTAAAAAAATGCACTACCTTTGAAACCTCACATGGTCTATTGCATATTCTGCGTAGGTGACTCGAAAGTGAAAGGCATGTTTTTGAATTGGTTTATCCTGAATCTGTTGTGTTGATCTTTTTTCGTCCTTCTCCCAGCCAAAAATTTCTGCACCACACACAATCTTGCGCTACCATCGGGGCCAGCACACCATTTGCCAAGCAACGATGTCACACGAATGCCATTGGCTGACGTCCTGATGACGTCACAAAATAACATCAGTAATGATGTAATGTGACATTGAGGTTATGAGACATTGGGCAGGCCAAGACACGCGTTTAGACACTGATGCACCAGGCGAATGTTGGACTCTTTTTATTGCTTAAAATTTTTCATCATTCGTAGTAATGCAGCCGAAAATACGATCTTTCCAAGTATTTTCAGGTCTTGCAAAGCCTCGCAAAGCCTTTCGACTGACGAGACAAAAAAAATGTTTGCCTTAACCTCAACAAGTGGGTACGGGGTTAAAGGTATTTTGTACTGATTCTGGGACCAAATGTCTACAGTCTTCATCGGTCGAGTTGCAGTTCTTGAAGAGCTCTACCATGTGATGGTGGAGTATATCAGTAGCATTGTAGCCGTAGATGAAGTCAAGATGACCAAATAGGGGATCCGGCACGGTCTGATTCACCACGAGGATGCATCGTAGACGCTCGTCAAGGTCGTGCACGTCTTGTGGATTGGCGAAAATGTCACCATCTCCCCGGTATACTGCGAAGGAAACATTAATGTTCTCCAAAGGATATGGTGGTGGATGTCCTTGTGAAAACCAGAGGTGGTACAGTTTTTTAACTGGGACTGAAGACTCCCCAGAACAAGGCACTGAAAACTCGCCAGGACAAGTGTTTAGACAATATCTTGGAAAGGAAAAGACTGCAAAATATAATGAAAGGTTCGAGACCTCGGTTCACAATTTCAATAAGAAACGCGTTTTTTAAACTTCGTTTGAAAATAATAAATATCGGAGCCTCACGCCACTGGAAGTAACGGGCCTTCGCACTGAACGAAGGAGTCGATCGAATAACCGTGCACCCGTTAATGAGGGACACCAGAATTTGCTTTTAACAATAATGTTTATATATTATTAGGCATCTTCTCAGTTTTGTCAGATGCATACAGCGTGTTAGTCGTCGTTTCTAAGGGGTCGTGAAACATTCGCTTTAAAGCGACAATGCGAAGCCACCGGCGTCCACACACACTATGTGACGTCATCATAAGTAATGCTTTGCCTATCGAGGAACGCGGAACTTTTGGGAACTTGCAGTTTCGTGCAACTGAGACACTCATAAGCGTCTTTGTCACACGCAATTGGTGCCAACTTGAACTCTGACGTCATATTAAACAGCGTTCTTGTGGAACGCGGATCGCGTATGGCAGACGCCGATGATCGCATCTTGCACGTGCTCGATATGCCAATGAGTTCCAAGTTCCTCGATAGGCAAAGCCTCTATGCAGGTCCACTCGGGCTGATAATACAGTTAGTGCATATAGCAGCCGATGGTGCCGCATTGTCGTTTTAAAGCGACCATTTCACGACCCCCTTAACAACGAGGAAAGTGATTCCGGGCATTTCAGATGCTTCACACGCCGGAGGGTCGAAACCAAAAAGCAGTATTTCCGCGATAAGATTGTAGCCTGAATCATCGCTGAACTTACTACTGGTAAGTTTAGACGAGTGGCACAGCTTGATTCCGTTTCTTATGACATCGCCAAATTGCTTTGCGCCCGCTAAAAGAGGCACATGAGCTATGTTTACACACTGGTAAGCCATGACGGGGTCTAGCGGATCCCTTGACTTCATCAACGACGGATTTTCGTAACGTCATCCGATACGCACGATGGCTGATGGAGCAGCTGCCTGTTTCGGTTTCTGTTTTGACTTGATGCTTATTGCCTAATTAAAATTATTGACTAGTGCCAGGACAAAATTAACCACCCTAACTTTTGCAGGACTACCAATATTTTTAGAAAACAGCATTATTTCATTATGATCAAAAATTCACCGGAGTTCTCGTTTAAAGAAAGAAATATAACTGAAATTTCAAAAATCAGGGCTGATTGCGCAACTAAAATTTAGTCTTTCCGCTTCAACCCAGCAGTACCTTGTGCCACGTTCTTGCCGGTCATAAGTTTGTGTACAAGATGTGTTGTCCGAGGGATTGTCACTAGTTATTTATTCTGTAGTAAGAAGAGGAAACTAAGCTCGACCAAACTTTATTTGCCCTACTTGTTGAAAACAGCCAAGTCATATTTACTACAATTATTTATTGGTGGACCCCGACAAGGGTTCATTTATTTTAGGTAAAGTTGTTTTCTCTCTTTCCTACTGAAGTTTACCGATTGTAGGTGAGACAGCACCTGTCAGACCAATTACGAAGTGGTGGATGCTATGTGCATCATTGAGCACATTGTATGTGTGTACACCGGAATGCGTGCCGCACATGCTGATGGCGTACCTATAAAGCAGAATGAAGCTTGTCACATACGCAACTGGTTAGTGGCGAGATTTTCAGCCGGCTAGCACACCGTCATACGTCACCGTCATTTCTCTACATACGACGGAGCTCAGCGATGACTGGATGCGCACGATAGTGGGGTGCTTTTCCACAAACAACGGGCGCACGTGCCGATCCAGGGGTTGTTATAAGTAGGTGCCACTGATACCGCCATGTGGCCGTGTGGCTCTGCTTCCGGCTCGTAATCCCGTGTTACCGCTAGGCGTTATTGTGACTGTAAAATTGACATCAGTTTTAGTGTAGGAGAACGAGGAGGAGGAGAGGTTGAGGAAAGAAATAGACGCCACTTCTGCATTCCTATTTGGAAGTGCACTTGCAATAATGTCACTGCCACGAGAATTTAGGGCTTTAAATGCTCGCTCCTCGTCATGGCTGTGGTGGTTATCTTGCCTGCCAATGACCGGTCTTTTGGGATTACCAGAGAAATAACAACTTCAATAAACACAAAGCCGTAATTCGTGAGGAGCAGTTAAATATATGTGATGACGGCGATGATGGACGGCAACGTATAAAAAATTGTGTTCTTTGAGGTAAGCAGCATACCTGTCCATATATCGCCGTGTTATTCTTCCCGTAATCGAATCGAACGAAATTCCTCGTCTTGTACATCTGTAACAAAACGAAATAAAACAAACTCATTTCTACCCTCTCCATGCACAGAAATAAAGCAGGGAGCGTAGACGAGAGCAGCTTTGCCAATTCACCTTTATGTCTGGCACCTGTGCATTTATGGAACAGTTCAGTAAAACGCTAAATTAACCATTCCGCCAATTTCGATGGGAATATGTTTCTAAAAAGCTTCTAAGCACTGAGCTTTAGAAGTAGGAGAAACACGCCAGATCCACGAAGTGAATGATGATGAAGCGTGCGAAGCAGTGCGATTGTTCAGTGTTACGTAAATCCTTTGTGGCATTGTCCACTCACAAGGTGTATTAGTGACGAAGTGTTTTTCTTTGTCATACAGGGTAAGTTGGGTTAAGTAGCGAGTTTCGTTTCGCTTTCATTGTTACTGCTTTGTGGTATCGTATCTTGTTTCAAGTTGGCAATAACGAAGTCCGTGCATATTCCCGTCAAGTTCGTTGGTTGTTTCGAGCCACACAAAGTGCATTGTAGAACATATCGAGGCATCATATGCTGCACAAGTCAATTATTGTATGTGATTGTGATTGTCATTGTCATTATCGTCATCAGCGTAATCTTCACCAAGGCTGCTGCGCGCGCCAATGAACAAGCCTTAACCTTGAAGAGATTTGCCCCTAAGACTGCTTTATGAAGTCTCCGAAAAAATCTTATAATAATGTCTAGCTTGCTTAGAGCACAGTTTCATTCATTTTTTAAAACAAATATTTACTTAGGGTTCAGCAGACACTGTCGTAAACGATGACTTCACTACGCGTTGTTCCGAAAACCACACGATACTATTGTTACGTGTATCATTTTTTCTATTCTCTCGTTTACAAGAAATGTACTCCAGGCAAAAGTTGTAGTTCGGGTATTGTGACATTGCAATTCAATAAAACTAGAGCAATCTTTTTCAGCCTCGCCACTTAATGATTAGCACAGGGGAGTGTGTACTACAACAAATGAGTAAAAGCAGCCGACTTACCTGGGCATAGTGAAGCACGTTTTTGCTGGAGGAGCCTACAGGTAAGTTGGTCACGTAGACGGGCACCTTCGTCTGTGTGCGTCGGTGCATAAGTTTAATAATAAGTGAGGTTTTCCATCCCAAAACAACGGTATGATTATGAGAGACGACATAGAGGGACACTCGGAAATTACTATCATATATGTTCTTCAGCATGCAGTGACATCGCACAGTACACTGGCCTCTACCGTTTGCCTCATCTTAATGAGACTGCCATGACCGGGATCAAAACCGGGACCTTCGCGTCAGCAGCCGAGCAACATGGCCATATACAACGAGGACATACAGTACAGAAGTTCTACGAGAGCCTTACTCAGAACTCTGACAGCGTTAAGGTATCTGTGTAGTTGCACAGCGAGATATTTAGTAACCAATAACAGGAAACATTAGCGCATCGAAGACGGGACAAAGCGAAGCACACGTAACACACAAACAGGGCGACTAACTAGTGGTATGTATGCGGGTTATGTGCATTTCGCTCAGTCCCTGTCTTCGATGTTTCGGTCTGCATAGAGTCTCAACACAGCATATTAAAATGATTTGATTGATTGATTGATTGATTGATATGTGGGGTTTAACGTCCCCAAACTACCGTATGATTTTAAGAGACGCCGTAGTGGAGAGCTCCGGAGGTTTCGACCACCTGGGGTTCTTTAACGTGCGCCCAAATCTGAGCACACGGGCATACAGCATTTCCACCTCCATCGGAAATGCAGCAGCCGCAGCCGGGATTTGAACCCGCGACCTGTGGGTCAGCAGCTGAGCACCTTAGCCACTAGATCATCGTGGCGGGGCCAGCATATTGAAATGAATTATGTGCTGTTAAGTGCCAGGACGACGTGATGATTACAAGACATGGCGCTGTAGGAGGGACAGATAAATTTCGATCACCTCAGCTTGTATATTATGCACATAATTTAGTCATACGTGCGTGTTTGCCTGAGGTGTGTGTGGGGTTGCATATGTTCGCGTGTTTCGCATTTGGGTTTCATGCAAATCTGTAATCCATGAAACGACAGCAACCTAGGTGACGCATTTATGTATATCACAAATGTGTATTTAAAGACAACTTAACAGTGGTAATTTCTCAGCTCAAACCTAATTTATGAATTCAGCGTAGCATTGCTTTAACTACGCCAGTCTTACATTTCACTATTTCTAGGTGTCGCTAAGCTTCCTTTTCTTCTCGTATGAACATGGGCACATTTGAATGGTAATATTAATAATTAAAATTATGTGGACTCAATTGGTGGAAGGAGATAAAAGAGTGGCACTTAAGGCAAAAGCTCATTCACCCTTATCTTATGTAGTAAGTGTATACTATAAGGTACAGAGAGGCTCACGGCGAAGTAAGGAAAAATACAGCAACTGCATGCGCTTCGCGATATCTCACCAATCTGCTCAAAGTCACCATTTGTTTTTTGAAAGCTTTTGTGTAGTGGGCCCGCTCTCTTTAGTATCGGAAGAACGTACGCATGCCATGACACACACATACACGACCAATACTTTTCACTGCACTATATGCATAATAAGGTGAAGTTCTCTCTTACGCTGTTGTACTGTTTCGGATTCTTTCCATACAGGAAGGCCAGTGGCTTGTAGCAGAGGTTGCGGAAAAAACGGTGACCGCACATCCAGGCAACCTTCTTTTGTCGCACTGCATTCGAGACCAAGAATCCACCTTGCGTGAAGAAGTCGTTCACCGCCTGTAATGATTATGCGAACAGCAGCCCATTCTATAAAAACAGCACGAAGAATGAGAAACAAAAACCACGTATAATATTTGAAGGCACAGACCAGCCACTGCACTTCCGAATGGCGTCAAACTGACGACAACTCGTTGATATAGGAGTTATCGTAGATTTCACAGTCATGTATATAGATGCATCCCGGCAACCTGGCTCATCGAGTTTTCGTCCATAGTGTAGGTGGGCGCAAAAAATTTCGTTCAACCTTTGGACAACCTAACACGCTAGAGTTTCTGCGAACGCAATAAGTAGTTTTTAGCTTAACAAGCCAGATCAACAAGATTGTTCTTTGCAGAAGTAATGGTAGCTCTTGCGACAGAGTCAGGGCAAATCTGACCTATGGTGCAAGCGCATACAGAGTGTTTCAGCTAACTTGCGCCTAGTATTATTTTAAATTTCGTGTACTTTCTTGGAAAGCTAGAAAAGGAATAGTCTAGGCAGTTATTTCAGCATCGATGAAATATACGCAGGTGCTGCACAAACGCTACAATCTTTTCCTTCAATATTTTTGCTGGAAGTATACTATTTCGAAGGCTAGTTGAGCAGTGCTTAATATTACCCAGCTTAAGATATTGGTATGCAGGCATGTTCGCATGGATGAAATATCCTTGTTCTTCAATAGAAGTGTTACAAAGTTTGCACGTAAGATTTCTCGCCAGTTTTATTAATTAAAAAGGAAACTTAGCAATACTTGCTAGCTAACCGGCTTGGAGAATTGGAGCCAATATCATGACGCGCTTTTATCGGCTGTGAATAGTACTGGGCCGAACCGGCACGTGTAGCGTATACGTTTTCTTTTGTAATACGAGGCGCAAGTGATCTGAAACACATTGTGCAAATGAAATACAGGCACCTTGTACGTTCAGACAGCCTCTCCAGTTGGCGGTCCGGTATGTGTTACGGCGGTGAGTGAGGCTTCACCGATATAATAAAACGAGTGTGCATGCTGTTGCCAAAATTTTACATCATGTGGCAGGTAGGATTCAATTCGCTGAATGCTTTTCGGTTTCCACTTTCCACCTGGCGAGACGCTGCTACCGATCAAGGAGTTTGCGTACAGTATACCGGCATTCGCCGAAAAGAAAATGCACTTTCTGGAGGCATTATTTGCAAAGTGCTCGTAAATGATGCTGCTACAGTGAAGTGTGCAGACAGAACGTTGGTCAGGCAGAGAGTGCGTACCTTGACTAGCTTGGAGAAAGGAACGAGCCACCTCATCGGAGATGTGAAGTGCGTGATGTTTGCCACTGGAGCATAGCCGACGAGAATGTTCACCTGAAAACAAAATTAGTTACTAATCAGCAGTTGTCTCCTGAATTCTCAAATTCTACGATGTCTATGCTTACGCCGGCTGTGAATACGCCGGCGTAATACGGCGTATCCTTACGCCGGCTGTGAATACGCCGGCTGTGAAGAAAGAAACAAGAAGATGGCTTTGGCCTTCACATCACCTTACGAGATTGCAAAAGAAGCCGGCGAGTTTTTACGCGCATGCTACAAGCACTTACTCTAGGCTGGTAACTGTTAGGCCATGTTGGCTGAAGCCGGCTAACTGATATGACAAATTTTGGTTTTACTGAAGGTAAGAACTAACTAAGAACTGACTATCAGCTTTAACAACAACAACATTGCCTTCATTGACCTCACTCGAGGTGTTGAGTTGTACACATTTTTTAGAGCGAAAGCTGTAAATGACACGGCAAAATCAAAGACCGTTCACTAAAGTGACGCTAAACATCTCAATTTGGGTGCTCCATCAGTGACGTCGTTCTTTAAGTCCGGCCACACGCCCCTTTCTTCGGCATGCGCATGTCACCTCTCACCAAGGAAAGCCGTGAAGCAGGCAAAGAGGAGATACAGCCCGGGCTCGCAGAGCAGGCCTGGGAGCCCAAGCGCAAGAAACAACTTACTGAAGATACGGCAGCTTTCCAGCCACGCTGAATGGCGAAGCAGAGCGCTAGCGCCATGGCATGCGATTCTGCTAATCAAGACGCCGAGCTGAACAGTGTTCATGAATACATGGGACAGCGGCGAGCCGAAGAGACGGCGTACGAGTAGAGCAGCGCCTAAGGGGCAATGACGGAAACAAGTGTTGTCCGGGGCCGATGTTTACTTTCGGTGGGTGTTTATCGACACGTTTTCGGCTGGAATGCCAGCAACCACCTGTGGCCGCAAGTTTCCGCTTTGCTGGTAAACCCATCTTACGGAGCGCTTGGACAGTGATTGTTAAATTCGTTTGATTGTCAGGTACAACTTGCGTTTTTTAACTCCATCTCGACCTGTAGCTCGTTTGTTTAGAAAAAAGAGGTTAATGATTTAGAGCACTTGGTACTCTACTATGGGAGAGCTTTAAAGCCGTCCCGTGAGCCTCAGCCCCCAGAACTGATAATAAGGATCTAAATGATTTTACAGCTTGCAGTGCCAATAGAACTTTTTGACGAACGCTGGCGAAGCGTCAGTTTAGGTGACACACCGTGTCATTGTTAATAGTGGCTCCGCTGTTGTTACTTTACCTTCTGGTTGTATTCTGGTCGCATAGAGAGAAGGACCCGTGAGGCTGTTGTTCCTTGCGATGTGTCAGCAGGCCCACCTTCGTGAAATTTGTCATGTTCAGATGTAATCGATTACGGCTGGAAGGTCTTGTGTGCTAATCTCCTCCAAGCTGAAATCACATTTCAACATAAATATTAGACCAGCAAAAAAGCTATGCACACTGGAAACCTTGAGTACTCTATGACGCTGTGGTGAACGGAAATACCCCTCGTTCAAGCTACCATTCTATCCGTACAACAGCATGATTCTATTTCTCTGTGATGGTCTGATAATTTTGACGTACGCACTGAAGTCATTGAAAGACAACGAAAGACCGAGGTCGCGATTGTGCGCAAGCCTGTGCTGTTTTGCGGATCTGACGCTGCTTCAGCGGGTGGTGACCTTGTGAGATTCCGTGAATAATAAGTAAGGCTAATCGATAAACCTGGCTAAAACTGCTGCTTTGAGAGTTGGTTTATGATTAAGTTGTACCTAATCGCATTTGGTGAAGGTGCTGTGTACCGCCAAGCATCCTGGAGCTCCACTCTCATATACTGCCAGTGAGACCACACTAATTATTTTATACGAACATTGATATCGTGAAATGAATAATACATTATGTAACAAGGTATTAGTTTGCTGCACATCCCGACCAAATATTTTCCGCCTGCATCTTCCCACAGGGGAGCTCGAGTAAATCCGTCGCAGAGAGGGGGGGGGTGAGGGGGTATCACGTGAACGCTACGTAATAGAGTATGGTAATACAATGCCTAATTGTTATTAAGTCTTAATTATTACTAACTATTGATCAATATGCGTGGTTTCACTCCCTGAAGCCACCATATGATTATAAGGGACGCCGCAGTGGAGGCCTCCGGAATTTCGCCCAATTGGGGTTTTAACGTGCCTTCAAATCTGAGCGCACGGGCCTACAGCATTTTTTTCCTACACCGAAATTGCAGCCGCCGCAGCTCAGATTCGACCCCACGAATTGCCGGTCAGTAGCTGAGTACCTTAGCCATTAGACCACCGAAGCAGGGCCATTCTTATCCATTGAATGAAGGAGAAGCGTTTCCTTCAACGAATGATTTGATGTTGATGTAGGGATGTGCCCCACTACTGGTTGAAGATGCTCTCGCTTCGATCGCATCTACACGAGTTAAGCGTCAAGTCAAGCGAAAGCCAAGTAAAAACGCCTTTGAGTGAATTCAAAACCCGTGGTGGCTAGTGAACGGTTGTGCAGCGCGAGCAGTTGACGTCATCGACACCTACACCAACGCTGACACCAACATCTCTGGGAAACAAGCTCTTTAATTAACGCTATCACGTAAACATCGCGTAAAAAGCACGTGCCCAGTTTAAACTTCTGTTTCTACATTTTTTCCGGACGCCATTTCTTACTAGCAGACACTGCCTGCGTCAGCCTTGTCGAGGTGAATGAAGTGGAGGAGAGCAGAAGTTTCCCGAATGTCTTCCTGAGCCGGCGCGATACGCAAGCATGCAGCACGAGACGCGACACGCGAGAATGCGCAGGTGGGGGCGTGACAGTGCTGCCGCCGACACCGAAGCGCGACATCATACGAATAAGAAAATGTTGCGCATTTATTATCGTATATTTCATTATGCCGCAAGTATTATAGTTCGGTGCAGTGTTAATGCCTGAAAAGACGTGAAATCACTGACTTGCCTCCAGTTCCAGAACCGTTTGTCGTTCGTGGTTAGATTTACATGGCGATTAGACTGTGGCACACCCCTGGTGTTTACGAGCCATACATCAAATCCAGCATCTGCTAAGAGGAATCCTGTAAAATATGAGAACCACAATAGAGTATTCTGCTTCAAGACACAACTTTTTTTTAGGATTCTACTTTTGTCAATTTGGAGAAACTATTGATCTCGTTGGTTTGATAAAGTAACACGCTCACGATTCATACGACGTTTCATTCTACATTAAGGAAAAATTGCTGTGTCGAACATAAACTTAGTGACAACACCAAATTATTTCTCCGGTTTTATCTACCAATTAGCGTACTTTAGAAATGTGGGTCACTAAAATAAACTTACATCATCTGTTATCTGGAACTAGGTAATCGCATAGATGCCCTAAAGGGGGCATTTAATGTATACTGTAATCAAACGTGGCTAAAGGTGATATTCATTTACTTTGAGATTGACTAAAGCGCTGGGCAGAAGCTGCGATTAGTATGATCTATAAACAGTTGAATAAAACAGGTACATTAAGCGTATAACATTATTGCAAGGGGCAGCTTCGCGCACATGAAGTGAAAAAAAAAACTGGCAGATCCCACGGGGAATCGATGATATGCGAAGCACGAATGAGAAAGGTTAATATGCCTCTTTAAAATCAGCACAGCGTTACGAGGTGGAGGTAACTGATACCGTACATGACTTACGTGTCATGATTATCATGTTTGGATGTATCGTTTGCCTTTGTCATCTATTCACGTTACGTGATATTAAATTTAGTATATGTGGAACTAGCGAAACGCACGCGCGCACGCTATGAGCGTGGTATGTTGTTATGTTCTCACGTGACACTCGTGTCAGTATTATTATGATTGCACCAGTCATATATTTTGTCATCCATTGACGTCACGTAACACCAAATTTGGTATATGTGGAGCTATCAAAATGACCACGAGCGTATAATGAAGCGCCCAATATACTCCAACGTAACGTTGACGCGTGCGCACTCTGGGGACAGCGACGCTACCTTAGCAAAACGCGAGCACTATATAGTCTGGCGCCAGGCATGACCAGCGCCAGCGCGGCCCGGGACGGAGGAACTTGTGTATTTTCTTGTCATTCTCATCTTTTTTGTTCGAGGATGTTGCGTGGAGTTTTGGGGGGGGGGGGGGTTCTTCGGAAGTTGCGACCGGGACTCGGATGCTTATTTCGCGAGCAGGCTGATCGGCCATTTTGTTGCCCTGAAGTTCCACATCCGCGAGGAACCAAAGTATTGCATGGGCATTTTGTAGTTGCTGCCCTGAATTCTAATAGCCACTCATGGAATCGCCCCAGCCTGAAACGTACAGCAAGTTGAGTGAAAGTTGATTCTTAGAAAAGTCGAGCTTCCTTTTTGTTCCACGCATTTGATCACCGAAGCAACCACCGCCGTTTCGGCCAAACTGACGGAGAAGATTTGTATCGACACTGCTATGGTTGTAGTTACTCTGTTGGCAACAATGGCGTAACGATTAATTTTAAGTGTGCTGGTGTCTATGTTGGGTTTGGTTGTTACCGTAATGCTTTTGTAGTCCTCATGTACTGGCCTGCCACCTGCTTAGGTGATACACTGCACTCATATTTTGGGGGATGGGGATGCCATAATTAGGGCCCTAAAGGGGCGAGGCAGTAAGTATGTCTCCTATCCAGCGTGTTGGGGTCTTGAAGGTTAGCCAACGCGCTCGAACATTGAGGTGCATTTGGGACCCTACAATTTCGGCATCTTTGTCTTTTAACCTGATAAATTGAGTTTTGAGGTGCACATCGCATGTATGCATTCACGCTAAATCCTTCGACATTGTCGATGGCTTTTTGAAGGATATGCTGCTTGTCGCTTGTGGAGTCTTTCAAAACGCGTAACGTTATTTGATCCTCGTATATTTTTTACCCAGCACGGGTTGCTCCTCTAACAATACCACAGACTTGCGCATGCCAACATTGAAAATAGAGGGGACGAGCTTAAGCGCTGAGGTGTTCCGCGGTTGGGCAAAGGAGTTAACACTGACTGGGTTGAACTGGGGCCAAGTATAGCCGCACGGTTCATCAAGAAAGATGTCATGTAGTTTTAAGCTTGTTTTTCACATTCCATGTTGCGTAGCTCCTCAATTATTGTTTCGTAAGATGTGAAGTCAAAAACCTTTTTGATGTCAAAGGCTATTCTATAGCAGCCCTAGACAAAAAACCAAATTTAGGTCACTTTTTAGAAAAACGATCAGCATTACTAAAAAGCAAGCATTGGTTATAGTAGGAGATTTCAACGCGTTGCATGCGGCATGGAGTTATGACAAAGAAAACATCAAAGGTAGAAATCTCTGCATCGACGCCCAACAGGAGGGCCTTACGGTAATAACCGACCCCCTTTTCCCAACTAGGATTGGAAACAGCGTATCCAAAGACACGTCTCCTGACCTCACGTTTATGAAGAATATCATCGAACCTTATTGGCCTAATACACAAGAAAATATGGGTAGTGACCACTATATAATTGAGACCATGTTTAAAGCAGGTCCACGTAAAAGAGGAGGCAAAGAATCAAGGATGGTTGAATGGGATAGCTTTAGAAAAATCAGAGAGAAGGAAGCATGCGATGTCATCGAAGACTTAGATGAATGGCTAGGGAACCTTAAGCAAAATATTCAAATCGCTACTAAGACCATACCAAGAACAGAAGGACTAGAAAGCACAGACATAAAGCTCCTACATATGTGGGAGGCAAAAAAGAGCCTAAAAAACGGTGGAAAACACAAAAACACAACAAACGCCTTAGAAAAAGGATAGCCACCCTCAGTAAAGATATTGAGAAGAACGCGAAGCAATTATGCAGACCGCAATGGGAGGAAAAGTGTGATGCGTTGGAAAAACAAATAAGTCTCTCTAAAACATGGAACCTGTTAAGATGTCTGATAGACTCGGAAGCGAGCAAGACAGCACAACAACAAAACTTTATTAGACTTGCCCGTAAATACAAAGGCATGGAGGAAGAACTGATTGAAGAAATCAGACAGAGATACATTGGGGATACAACCAAAGAGCAATTAAGCTCGTACAAAGGTAAGGAAAATGATTCTCTAGACCGACCCATATTAGAGGCCGAAGTACGATCGGAACTAATGAAACTGAGCACCACTGCAGCCCCGGGCCCCGATGGGATCACGAATAAAACGCTCAGAAACTTAGACGACAAATCTATCACAGCCCTCACCGAATATATGAAGAAGTGTTGGGAAAAAGGTAAGATACCCAAGCAATTGAAAATGGCAACAATCATAATGATTATCAAGCCAGGCAAAAAACGAAATCTTGATAATCTTAGGCCTCTTTTCCTGACATCCTGCATAGGAAAGTTATTAGAGCATGTCATCCTAACTCGCCTGTCAAATTATATGGAAGACAATGAGCTCTTTCCTCATACGATAGTAGGCTTCAGAGCGAAACTGTTTACACAGGGCATTATGCTTAAGAATAAATACCAAATAATTGATTCGGGTCTCAATACACATGACACAAAGGTAATAGTTGGCTTAGATCTTAAAAAGGCATTCTATAATACATCACATAAAGCTATACTTGCCAATCTTCAAGCGTTAGGGGTAGGAAAAAGAGTATACGATTATATAAAAGACTTTTTAACTGACAGGACTGCAAGAATAATACTAGGCAAAGCAGAATCCCAAGAGTTGAGTCTGGGCAGCAGAGGCACGCCGCAAGGCTCAGTCCTATCCCCTTTCTTTTTAATGTGGCCATGATATGTCTCCCTACCAGACTGAAGGAAATTCCAGGACTCCACCATAGCCTCTATGCAAATGACATTACCTTATGGGTAGCAGAGGGTAGTGACGGATACATAGACGAAACTTTACAAACAACAGTAAATGTTGCAGAAGAATATTCCATCCATACAGGATTACAATGTTCACCGGAGAAATCGGAACTTCTCTTCTATAACCCGACGTGTAGGGGTCGGAAAAGCATCCAGGAAAAACCTAACATTAAAGTCTTTGTTGGAAAAACGCAAATACCTACAGTCGAAAGCATAAGAATTGTGGGACTCCAAATCAGCTCAAACGGGAATAACGAGGAGGTGATTAGAATGCTTGAAACCAGTGCGCAGCAAACTATGCGTCTACTTAAACGAATTGCAAACCGGCACTATGGTATGAAGGAAAATAATATAATAAGACTGGTACAGGCTTTTGTCATCAGTCGTATTCTATATGTGATTCCGTACCTAAGACTGCAAGTGGCCGAGAAATAAAAGATTGACAGAATCATTAGACGAGATTTCAAACAGGTGATCAGACTTCCAGTTACTACCTCTAATGATAAATTACTTCAATTAGGGCTTCGCAACACAAAGAAGAGCTTATAGAAGCTCAAACAATCGCACAGTATGAAAGACTAACGCAGAGTAAAACAGGTAGAGCCATACTAGAGGAACTGGGTATAAACTACGCAAATCAATTTGGTGCCAAAAAAGATATCCCGTATGAAATCAGGAAAGGTTTAGTAATCTTACCGATTTCAAAAAACATGCGCCCCGAACATCACAAAGCAAGGAGAGCTGAAAGAGTGAAAAATATACATAACAACGTAAAAGATTTACCGGAAACAACATACGTAGACGCGGCCAAATACAAAGGAAATGACAACATGACTATAGCAGTAGTGGACTACAAAGGAAATCATAAGGTCAGCGGCTCAGTCAGAACGAGCGATGCAGAAGAGGCGGAGGAAGCAGCTATTGCAATGGCCATAGCATCCACCTCGACTTCACTCATTCTTAGCGACTCGCAGACGGCTGTGGAAACTTTGCACGAGGGCAAATATCCCGAATAGCTTTAAGAATATTGGTTGGATGCAAAGACCAACGAACAATAGAAATAGTCTGGGCACCCGCTCACTCCTCCTTGCCCGGCAATGAGGCTGCACACCAGACAGCTCGAGGGCTTACAGACAGAGCCTCTGGATTGCCCTGGCAGAACGGGGAGGACGATGAGAGATTTGAGCGGATGACCACTTACAGAGATATTACGCAGTAATACAGGCTAAGCAGGAAAATTTATCCTCCCGCACACTCGTCATTGAACAAAGGACAGGCGGTGGCGTGGCGCCTACTCCAGACCCACACGTTTCCTAGTCCGCTAACAATGAACCGCTGCGTGCCGGAACTTCATTCGAACAAGTGTAAATTTTGCCACAACAGGGCGGACTTTAGCCACATTTTATGGACATGCCCAGAGGCCCCCATGAGAGGCGAATTTCCAGGCAGGAGTGGATGGGATGCCGCGCTCCTCCGCTCTGACTCTCAATTACAAGCCCGCTTAATACGGCAGGCCGAAGACGCCGCCACGGCCCATGGGATCATGGCCGTCGTCTAGGTTTGGTCCTCCCTTCTCCTCTCGCACCTGAAAGGGGAAGACGACCTTTCTGCTAATTAAATAAAGTTTGTTCATCATCATCATGTCAAACGCTATGATAAGTCCATGATGAGGCGGATGTAAGGCTTCCTTTTTGAGTAGCAGGAATATGTCTTGTGCTGCTGCCTCTGGTCTAAACCAAACATAATTGTGATTGATTGATTGATTGATTGATTGATACGTGGGGTTTAATGTCCCAAAGCCATCATATAATCATGAGAGACGACGTAGTGGAGGGCTCTGGAAATTTCGACCCCCTGGGGTTCTTTAACGTGCACCCAAACCTGAGCACACGGGCCTACAACATTTCCGCCTCCATAGAAAATGTGGCCGCTTCAGCAGGGATTCGACCCGCGATCTGCGGGTCAGCAGCCGAGTACCTTAGCCATTGGACCATAATAGTGGCGCATTCTATTGGGAAAGAGTCTTTGCATTTCAATGTAAGAACATCACTGTGCCTCAATTACAATTTCGCATAGTTTGCCCATGCAAGATGTCTGAGAGATGAGCCTAAGCTTTTGCAGACTCTTGGGCTTTCAAGGTGTTAGAATAATACTACTTCCGCTTCTTTCCATGCGCTTGTTACCTCTCCATTGGCTCATATTTTTTTGTTTAGGAAGTGGGTAAGCTTGCATAGAGTATCATTGCACAGGTTGTGAATTATTGCACTCGTGAATTTATCTCTACTAAGGGCTCTGTTTTTTTAATGTTTGCGCAGCTGCATGCACTTGTGCTACTCCTATGTGGAGTTCGAGTTCTTGGTTGACTGGGTCATCGTACTGGAGGTATGCCATGCCCCGCCGCGGTGGTCTGGTGGCTAAGCTATTCGGCTGCGGACCCGCAGGTCGCGAGATCGAATCCCGGCTGCGGCGGCTGCATTTCCGATGGAGGCGGAAATGTTGTAGGCCCGTGTGCTCAGATTTGGGCGCACGTTAAAGAACCCCAGGTGGTCGTAATTTCCGGATCCCTCCACTACGGCGTCTCTCATAATCATATGGTGGTTTTGGGACGTTAAACCTCACATATCATCGGAGGTATGTCATATTTTTTACTGGGCCCTCTGTGGAGCTTAGCTAGATTTCTTTTCGATGAGTGAATAAAACTTCACCAGTTACCTTGAATCAACTTTCTATTTATCGGAGAATTTCGTTCGTGGCTCTCACTCTATTAGTCAGGTCTAACATGCTACCTAATATTTCTCACGTTTTTTTTCGTCTGCAAAGTATCCTAAGGGACGCACAGGATCAAAACCAGTTATTATTATCTTGAGTTCGAGCATATTCGCTGGCGTTCTAGCTAAGCTTTGCGATTTGTATTATTAGGGGCGAAGCTTTTTATAACGGCACCCGTTCGTGCCTCGTAGCCGTTGTAGTATGTAACAAGTATGACATTGTGACTTCCAAGGTAATGCCGGTGAGAGATTTCTTCTGCGCGTTGTTGAACAATAAAAACTAGTGCTCAATGTACATGCCAATGGCTGCTAATGGGAAATGAGACAAAGGAGCATTCGGCTTTTAGTTAACTCGCACGCTGCAATCTCTATTAGCAGCCATTGTAATGTACATTGAGCACTATCTGACAGAAAAAGGTTGCTACGTTATACTCGCTGGGCGTGACCTCCTTGGTTTTAGAAAGATTTAGTGAGCGTTGAGCCGCAGTGCCATTAATACAGTGAACTAGTAGATACCATGAACTCGAGGTGGTTAAAGGTGGGAAGTAGAACTGAAGCGCAAGCTGTAAGAAAGTGTGCCTGTGCCACCTCTCGTTTAGTTTTTTGAATGTCCAATGAATGGCGGTGCTTCTATATGGGGAATGTATAATGAAAAGATGCAAGATGGTGGTACTTGGAGTGTTGAATAGATGGACGAATGGACACACACACAGATGCATGGATGGATGCATGAACGGACGCAGAGGAGGATGCATGGATGAACGCAGGGACAGGCGCACGAACAGACGCACGCACGAACGGGCGGATGGACGCATGGACGGTCACACAGACGGACGCATGGACGGACAGAAGCAAAAATGAATGGACGGACGAATGCTTCGCCCTCTCTCCATCATTCACTCTGTGGATATGCTGCAATTTTTTTATTTGCCTTTTATGTCGCTGCTTCTTCCATCGCTTAGCTAAATTGCATCTAGTTTCCAACAAGTTTAGCTAGTGAGATTCAATGGGGTGTGCATTTATTGTCATTTTTACTTTTTGGCCAGTCTAGCCATGAATGTTGTGAATAAAACTTGTCGAAACAGCTTCGTTTGTAATGCTCTCTGGGTTTTCTTGTTTTTCTCCAGAAGCAGTTCAGTCCGTCATACTTGCCGTTGCAAGTGGTTGTTTTATTTTATGTTATTTAGAGACAAGCCAATTATGTTGTAATCACTGCCTAAGCTTTGATCGAAGTCGGTCCATGTCATCTTTTGAATAATAACTTTACTTTGTATGTTGCTCTTGGGCATGCTTGTGAGACAGCACGACATTCTTCCAAACCAATTTCTAATTTTGGGTTAATAATGTTGAGTGCGGATGTTATAACGTGTCATAGTGTAACTTGGTTCCTATTACCATAAAACAGAGTACATCAGGTTAGATTAACGTCGACAAGAAGTATTGGGATAAGGCTGATATTTTGTTGTGTAGCGTACGAAATTTCTGCTGCTGATTTTGTAAAGTTTCTCTACACTGCATTAAATTGCTAGCCATGATCGTTGATTTCGCTTCCAGACGTCCCAAATATTTTGAGATGCTGGGTTGGGGCTGCCGTTTTCAAAATATTTCTTTGAAAGAATTTGAATAGTCCAGGAAACTTTTAAGCTTGTTTTATTTTGGCGAACATCTGCTGCAGCTGTTGCGGTAGGTAAGATAACTAGATTTTTACCCTGCCGCTTTTACCTCCCGCTACTTGGTGTGGGGCCGGCTTAGCTTGAAACGAGTGTTGTTCGGCATGATCGTAAGATTGCTCTAGAGCAGCGAACACTCGCGTAATTTCTGCAAAGCTGGCCTGATAATAGTTTGTTTTCCTCAGTGATTTTTTATAATGCATGTTTTTAGTTACTCTTGAGCTATCGGGAGAAGTAGCTTGTGCCCTGCTTACCGCTAAATTAGCTTGCCGCTGGCCCGGATCTGCTCTAGACTTTGAATGGATTTGGTGAGAAATCTTGAGGGCTGGTGGTGGCTTAGAATATTTCCCTATGTTGGCGTGTCTGAGGCTTGTTCTGGATCTCGTTTCTGGACCGGGATATCGGCATAGATTTTGAGCATGGCACATGGGCTTGCCATTGCAGTCTAGGGAATTCATGATCGCTGAACTATATCTTTTTCTCTTCGAATTTAAATCAGCGTGGTGGTTTGCTCCTTTGAATATCATGACTTTCTTGTAATGCCTGTTGCATCTTGGGTAATGGCTTCGTGTTGTTATTTGGGGTGATGCCGAGCTGGTTTCAAGCACGTTCTATAGCTGCAATCTACGGTAATGTGCTCTTCTCCACACGTCGCACTACATATGGTGCTCCCATGTTCATTCTTTGGCTTTGAACTTTCACATATTTTACAAACGCGAAGTTTGGTCTGTGGGCTGACGTCCATTCTGTGGTCCAGTGGCTGACAGATTAAGCTGACCTGTACTATGTGCTTATACGGGTAGCAGGCCTGTTGACCTCCCTGATGATATATGTATATGACTAAAGCGTCACGTTGACCTAAATGTCTATTGTATGTGTGTTTAGGAAAAGTTGTTAATGATTTAGAGTACGTGGTACTCTACAATTGGAGAGAAAAAGCCATACCGTGGGCCTTGAAAGTACTAAGGACGATATACTGACGTTCTCTACAAAGTAGTGGTCAGCGCTGCTACCCCAGCGGGCCCAAGAACAAGATACCAGGTTACCGCTTCTGGTATTGGTGATACCTAGTGATGCTGTTGGCATCGCTATACATTTGTAAAGAACTGGTTACTTAGAACATATGTGACAGTTCATTATATGTCTCTTCGTGTATATCAACATTTGTGCATATCTTTAGAGAAATGTTTTAACATTTCGCTGGCTCGAAAAATTACGCTACTCTCACCTTTCCTCAACATGCTTCGCATAACATCAATGACCATGATATGTGCTATCTGCCGAATTTTTCTCCCCTGGAAAGCAAGCTTGGCTTTCTGCAGTAGGCTCTGAAACAACATCAGTTCGTCTTTTTCTATTACTATCAGCACAATATTTCTCTCACCACGATGGCAAACACAATATTCTTTCAAAAGCTCGGTAAGCAGGTTCACATTGATCCTTTTTAGTACTTTACAAGATGCAATACCTGGACTTTGGGAGGGTAGGTTCGCTGTCCATGTGGCGGCGTTTGTGAGCAGTCCATGAACAAGCAGCAGCGGTGCACGGGATCTAGTGGCGTTACCCGTCGAGTTAGAATGCATTCTGTCCACTTCCAAGATGTAGCCGTCAGACGTGGTAACATTGTGAACTTCGACATTGTAGCCGAAGTACCGCATAAGTTCAGCCTGTCGAAAAATGTATGTCATTTATATAATTGTTCAGAGTTGTTGACACCCTCGCGGGCAAAGCAAAATGCACAGCCGAGAGTTGGTTGGTTGGTTTGATTGATTGATATGTGAGGTTTAACGTCCCAAAACCACCATATCAATACGAGAGACGCATTGGTTGGTTGGTTGGTTGTTTCTTAAAGTCCTGGCGCAACTCACCACGGGG